TCACTCAATCTTCTGGAGATCTCATTACACTCTTAATGAGCAACCCTACTTCTCAGCAGTCACAAGCAGGTAGCCGGGATTGAGAGTTTCCAACTGCTGGGGAAAATGCAACTTTTTTTGAAAAAATGAATGCTTCTGTCAGGACTTCCAGGACTCTTTGGAATCATAAAGAAGATATTTATCTCTTTTTTCCTTTAGTTTAATTGTACTCTATCCCATTCTGCAATCCTGAATTGAACCCACTTTGTAAAAGGAAACGTCAAGTGAATGGGCAATTTGTGCCTTTATAATGAGAATGTGCCAAAGCCAATATCTGGGAATGCCCGGCTCATTAACACAGTTTCTTTTCTAGCTCTCTAGCAGGCTGCTTAAAGTGCCACACCCACCATCTTTCCTCTGTGTTAGTTCTCAGCATTCTCCCCTGAAGAAGCTACCTTGTCTCCAAATAACTCTACCTTCATTTTGTTCAAATGTTTCTTTATACTCATAAGTCTGAGACTGGCCTTCACACTGCTTTAGCTGACACCTCAGAAGACATAGTGCGAACCCATTGGATATGTGTACTCTGTTGTCTTTGTTTCTAGCTTTGCTCTTCCTCTCTGAATGCTTTGCTACCTTTCCCAGTTCAATGGAAATATCAGAAAAGCAGAATAATGGAGGAATTGCTGCATCTGCAGTCTAAATTCCACTGATCAATTTCACTTGGAAGCCCAGTTGGAGAACAGGGAATGTTGGGAGGCTCAAGAGACAGAGTAATAGGTAGGAGTTCAGATGCCAGGATTTCAGTCCCTGCTTTCCTAAGACGTTGCCTCCTTTGGGACACGAGACGACCTGCTTCACTTCTCCATGACCTACTTTCTCCACGCCAAAATAAAGGCTTGACCCACCCACCGAGCACCCACATCCATGACAGAGGTTGTGAAGATTATTCAGATAATGATGCAAGTCAGATGATTTGCACTCCCCTGGGGAAGGATGATTGGAAATAAAACTACTTTGCAGTCATTATCCAGGTTGATCTTCCAGACCTAATGCTTCTTCTTTCTGCTACTGTCCATTGCTTCATTCCAGTGCTTAGTTTCCTTTCCCTTCCTCCTCACAAATGGACAGGATAAATAACAAAAGAGATCTCTCATTAACACATCACCAAAACTCTGGTCAAAGAGTTGGTGGGAAATTGATACCTTTATTCCATTTCTTCATTATCCATATCAATGTCACAAATATCAATTGATTGTCCAATAATTCCACCTCTGTTTTAATTATAACAAACAAGGGGCACAACCATACTAAGAAAAAGATCAGAGGTACTGACGTGTGTGTGCATAGGTTCAAGTTGGAAGTCCAAGAGAAGAGGAAGGAAAAAAGAGAAGGAATAATGGAAAGAAGATGAGTAAAACAGAGAGAAGAAAGGTGTTGCTTCTTCTTCTGTTGACTTATTTCTGATGTTTCCAGAGACCTACAAGAGAAAGAAGAAATGAAGAAACACATGGTGCTAAAATTGGCCCTCTAGTTCGTAGATTTCATTTTCGTTTTCTTTTGGGAGTGAAAGGGTCAACATTATCGTAATCAATGTTGTTTCCACACTAGAGCCAAAAGAAAGGATTGTGATGATCATAATTGAGGGGTCTTAGTCAAGCAGTGCCTGGAAGTCACTCAGTGTTCCATGGAGACTCCTGAGTAACCAAGCATCATACTTTGTCTCCAGTACATAGGGCCATATCGTTGGACTTGGAGGGGACCTTAGAAAGGTCATCTAGTCCAATCCCTTTATTTTACTTATCAGAAAATGGAGGCCCAGAGAAGCCCAAGGTTCCACAATTAAATGTTGGAATCAGGATTTGAACTTGAGTTCTTTGACTCCAACTCTTGAATGCTTTCTACTGCACTGCGCTAGAAATTATGAACAATTGGTATTCAGCAAATTAAACATTTTGAAAGTAAATTACCCTGGAAGGGCAAACCCAATGCCAAATGTTTTCAGGTAGCAGATAAGTGGCTGCCATCTTAAATGGACAAGCTTAACCAATGTGATAAGAATAATTCACCTTTCCTGAGGTTCTCCAAGAGCTTTCCTTGCCAGAAGCCCTCAAAGAGCTTCCATTCTGTTGAATCATCAAATTGGTTAAGTGATCAGACACCAACTTTCTGGGGCCGCCATCCCAATCCGCCATCTTATCTGATGACACTTTCTGCCCAGCCACAAGGCCTGACCTGGGCCACTTGGTTAGAGCAGAATTCATGCCCTTCCTGGTCCAGAACAAAAGCCACATACTCTGCCTGCCTCACTAATCCCACAATCCCACCCTGATCTTGGTTACTGAGGGGGACCCAAAGAGAGGAAAGGAGGAGACAGGAAAAATATGGCTCTTTCTGTCTTTTAACCACTCCTAATGTCTTCTCTTATTCTCTTGAGGTAGGTAGGTGGTATAATGGGATAAAGTGACAAACTTAGGATCAGGAAGACCTGAGTTCAAATCCTGACTCAGATACTAGTTGTATGATTCTATTCAAATTATTTAACCTCTTAGCCTCAGTTTTCTCATCTGTAAAATGAAAGAGTTAAACTAGATGGCCTCTAAAGTCTCTTTCAGTGCTGACTCTGATCCTAATTAGGGGAGAGGGCATAGAGGGGAGGTTTCTGTTGCAGAGAGTCCATTTTGAAAATGGGCCAGCTGTACTTCTGACTCTGTGGACTTCAGTATGATGCCCCTGCCCAGATACTTTAATCTCCCTGGCCCCTCTCCCATCCACATACACCCATAAGGCCTGGCACACAGTAAGCATTTAATAAATGCTTGTTGCCCCCTTACCTGTCTGCCAGATGAAAATCCCCAGTGGTCCTTAGGGTTCAGTGGGAAGCAAGACTGTAATACATCTCCCTACCTCATTTGATCCTTGTGATTATGCTTGAAGTAGATTCTGCTGTCCCTGTTTTATGGAAACTGAGTCCAAGAACAATTAGGAGCTTTGTCCAGGGACCCATACCTAGTAAGTACTTATACATCACCTGACTTCAGCTCCTCAGTGGAGGGAAGTAGGAGCCAAAAGGTTTTCCTCTTTGTAAACTGTTTCCTTACCATCCTTATCTCCTGAGGTTCTTAGGATTGGATGCTACAGTTTGTTCCAGAGGAAGGTAGTTCCTCAGTTATATACACTGAACCCCAAATATAAGACTTTCTTATGGGAGCTATTGACAGCATCTTAAGGAAGCAAGGTTGATTGGCATAAAGTGTTCTAATTACTCCAATCTAAGCCAAGGGGCAGCGACCACATGCGGGAGGAAAGCATTGTAGACTTAACACTAATGGCCCCAGTCCCATGCATAACATTTTCTGAGAGGAGCATTTGCTCCTGGGACAGGGAGCAGGAGACACAAGATGAATTTTAGTTCTCACTTAACTGCTGACCCACTTTGAGGAGCTTTGAATTAGACACAATTCATCAAGCAGATACTTCATACAATCTAGTGTAAGCCAATGCAACTAATATTCACTCAAGGCACACAGCCAGGTGCTGAGGATACAAGATAAAATGAAGCAAACAGCCCTTGCCCTTGAGGACCTTATATCCAAAGGGAAATGTATTTAGTGGTTAGAGGATAAGCAGTGGAATTCGGAAGACCTGGGTTCAAATCTTGTTGCTGAGTAATTAACCATATGACCATGGGCAAATCATGCAATCACACCAGGAAATTCTAATACTCTGTTTGAGATGAGCTAGAGTGTTAGAAAGTAGAGATGTCATCTCTTTGCATTCACATCCCCAATTAGAGGCACTTAATAAACACTAATTGATTGACAATAATAATAGCTAACATTCATATAGCTATTTGAAGTTTGCAAAGTATTTTGTGAATGTTATGTTTAGTCCTCAAGACAGCCTTGTGAGATAGGTGCTATTATCAGCAGTTAAGTGACTTGCCCAGGGTCACATAACTCATAAGTATCTAAGGTAGGATTTGAACTCAGGTCTTTCTGATCCTGAATTTGGAAGTCTATCCACTATACCACCTAGCTTCCTCAAGAGAACAAGGGAAGGCACTGTAGTAATTGAGAGGAAGAGAAAAGGCAGCATGATCCCTCTCCTCCATCCTCTATACCAGCCAGCTGCCTAAGTAACTGGTTGCATTACCAGTCTACATCCTGGCAATTCCCTGCATTATTAAAATCAAAGATCCAATTCATCATGACCCGTTAAATGAAAAATTGGTCACCTTGCTTCCACATCTTAACTGTCTTAAGTAGAAGGTTAGGCTCAAACAAAGAGCTTTGTGGTCCTCAGCCAATAGTCAGCTAGATGGTGCAGTGGATACAGCACCATGCTTGGAGTCAGGAAGACCTGAGTTCAAATCCAGCTTCAGACACTTACAAACTGTATGACCTAGAGCAAGACATTTAACATCTGTCTGTCTCAGTTTCCTCAACTGTAAAATGGGAGTAGTAAGGTTGTTGTGAGGATCAAATGAGACAATATTCATAAAGCTCTTTGTACAGTGCCTAGCACATAGTAGGTGCTTATGCTCTTCTTTCCATTTAGAAAGAGGTCAGTGCTTGGGATTAAGGTCCTTCTCTGGAAGGACCTTTAGAGGATATCTAGCTCAACTTCATTTTGACAAGTACAGAAACTGAGTCCCAGTAAGAAGTAATTTTTCAGAGTTCATAGACATAGTAAATGGCAGAGGTGAGATTTGAACCCAGGTCTTTAGAGTCCAAATTCAGCCAGCTCCCTTTCCCCTGTACCATTATAAATCTATTTAAGAGATTTTCCTATTTATTGTGACTTGGTTAATCTGCATGAGTAGATGGGGATTTTTTCCATCTATGCTAAATACATTAAATGACTCCTTTTTCCTTCCTGATTTTCTCTCTCTCTGTGTCCCCCTCCCACTCCCTGTTTTCCTTCTCCTCTTGTCTCTTTATCTCTTTGTCTCTGTCTCTTTCAGCTTCTGGGTGGGGGGAAGGTGGCATTGACACTTTTTCTTTTTCTTTTTTTTTCAGATCCAGAAGAATAACAGCACACACACACACAAACACAAAGAGCCTGCAAATTTCTTTCATCATTTTAGCTGAGCTTCTTCCTCCTTCTCCCTTTTCTTCTGCAAAGACCAGTTTCTGTGGGGAGGCTTACAAGTTTCCAAAAACAACTCCCCCAACTTGGCTGCCTCTCCCACCTCCCCCCCACCTCTACCTTCTTTCATGGGCTACTGCACAGGAGATGACTCTTTGGGGCTTGGTTTGAAGTTTTACATTGGGGAAAGGGGGCTTTCTACTGAAAAACCAACTTGAGATTTACACAAACATACAAATCTGTATGAGAGGCCTGCCTCAGACCCACTGTTAACGTCCTGGCTCCTAAGGCACTTGTCAGACAGGATGGAGATGGAGAATGGAGACTTGGGGAGAAAGGCTTGGAAACCTACCCCAGCACCGCCATCACCAGTGTTCCCATTTGGAAATATGGTTTTTCCCTTTTTTTCCTTTTTTTTGGCTGCTGATGTTGGAGACAGATGTTGGTTTTGACTGAAGTTCAAAGGCTTTTCTTTACTTCTTCTAATCTCCTCACTGGCTGGGTTTTTGCTGGATCTGGAGATATCCTCTGTCCTCTTCTCACTTTAGGACGTACTAAACTACAGCTATGGGCTTCTTCTCCATTTTCTCTGATGTGATGGATTTGTAAATGGATATTTATCCTACAGGAACATTTTATTCAAACCTCATCTGACTTTTCTTTGTGCATTTATTAAAGTAAACCTAAAGAAAGGTGCCTATTTTCCCTGCCATAGGATAAGATACTGTGAGGAGTATCCCTATAGATGTGGGCTGATGAGGGGGGACCAGAACGTTTCCTCTATGAAGTCTTCCATCACTAGGGCTTTGTGTCTAATGAGTTTCCACTGTGGGCTACCCATGGCTGCCCTCTTGTCTCCTTCTCTGGTAAATGCCAAGAGATGAGGAGTGGGGAATCATACCAGTTAATCCTTTTTTCATCTCAATGGGATTTATTTTTTCTTGGCCAGATAGAAGCTTATTGATAGAGTTGATAAAAGAAAAAAGACAGGTTCAGGCAAAGCCTGAAGAGAGAATGAAAAGCATTGAATCTGACTTCTAGAAGAGAATGAGGGACAGCCAAGGGGCAGCTGCTCAATGTGCTTCAGTGGCTCCTCACAATGTCAGGAGAAAGGAAGGAAGCCTTCCAAACCTCTGGGTGCCCCCAATGTCTCCATGGTGAACTTCCAGGAGGAGACAGATGCATTGCACAGGCATCGATGGGTTTCAATCTGTACTGATGGCAGTAATACTCTCATTGATAAGAGAACCAATCCACACTCTTGTTTTCCAGTAGAGCCTGATTGCCCAGTTAATAAATCAAAAAGCACCTACTATGGGGCCAGACACTCTATCAGGCCTTAGTTCTACAAAGAAAAAAAAAGCAGTTTCTGACCTTGAGGAGTTTACACTCTAATGAAGGAGACGGTATGTATATATACAGAACAGAATGACACAGTGGTGGTTAGTTGGGTGCTGTGATGTTGAGGTTTCTCTTATGTAAATCTCAAAGTCTAGTTTAGGGGCTCATGATGGCCTTTGGCCACAAGGAGAATTCCCTCCAAATCAATGGGATTAAAGATAATCTTCTTCTTCCCATGATAGACTGAACTTTACAATTAAAAGGACAAAATGGCTGTTTCCATATGGTATCAAAATAATAAACCTTCCCTCTGAAAAGAGTTACACAAGATTCTTTATTTACTGATTGACTAGTGGGAAGGATGTGTGAAGGTGGTCTACAAGACTATTTGCTCTATTCAATTTGTTCTATTCACATGCAGAAAAATATGAGACTCTGTTATGTAGACAGAAGGCATATACTTATTACTATTTGACTCAATTCATCAAGCACTTAGTAAGCACCTGTTATGTGTCAGGTGCTGGGACACACCAATGGGAGCTACAGAGATGAAAAGAAACAAGTCCCTGCCCTCTATGAGCTTTCTATCTATTTATATTCATAATTAAGTTTAATTTGGGTGATTCCATTGCTATGTTTAAATAGCTCTATCTGCTTTTGGGGCAATCCATGTGTTCCTAGTAGAGGCCATGGTCATTGTATATCTTTGGAAGTTGTCTGTCTCTGTGAGTTCCTAGAAGTGAGCCCAACCTAGTGTGTGTCAACCTTTGGTCTCATGAAGTGCAATGGTGGCCTTGTTCCTTTCCATATCCTTGCACAGAGAGCCTTTCAAACCAACCAGCATCAACTCTCCTGGGCTCTTATTTTTAAAAGCAAGCATCTGTTATTTGTGAAACAATATTTGAGAAAACTGTAGGAAATATAGCCATTTGCCCCCTAGATTATCAATCACCCTACCAGGAGTAAGAAAGGTGATGATGCTTTTCAGCTATTTTAGTCATGCAGTGTTTCCGTTTGGGAAAATGAATGTGAAAGGATATCTAGCCTGCTGCTTGGACTAGGAATCTCCCAAGGACATCAATGAGAAAATATGAAAAAAGTTAGTATGACCTTTGTATGTATGTATGTCTTTTACATGTACTTTAGTGGGACTCTGCTAAAGATGGATTTTTAAAAATCCTACTTCATTGCCTGATATATATATAGATATGTATATATATATATATATATATATATATATATATATATATATATATATATATATATAATATGTATCAGAGATAATAGGGTCCATGTATTAAAAACTGGAAAGTATCTCAGAGGTCATCTTGGTCAACCCTCTCATTTAACACAACAGGAAACCAAGGACCAGAGAAACAAAGTGATTTCTCTCGGGTCACACACTAGTGAGTAGAACAGCTAGAATTTGAACCTAGGACTTCCACCTGCAAATGTGACCCTTTTTCTGTGACTTCATGTTGCCTCTCACTTTTATACCCAAACAGATTTTTTTTGGTCTTGAGTTGGGATTTCTTCAGTATATAGAATTCCCATTATGGAAACTCCCTCTGCTGATACAAATCAGCAATATCTTCTAGTCTTAAAGAGATGCCAAAGGCTTTGAGAGCTTATGGGACTTGCCTTGGGTCATACAACTGGTGGGTGTCAGGAGTAGGCCTTGAACCCAGATCTTTCTTTTGCCAAGGTCAGCCTTTTATCCATTATACCATGCTGCCTCATCTGCTGTCCAGAGCTACTAGAACTGAAAGAGTATTTTAGAAAGATCAAATTGATTAGGTTTAGTGTTAACTTAAAAAGAAGACAAGCTCACGGAATCTCTTGTATTTTATTACCACTTTGAGGACTATAGTTTTAAGATCAGAAGGGATCTTAGAGATCATCTAGTGAAATCCATCTATTTTACAGTTAGGGTAGCTGAGGCCCATAAAGGTGAGGTGATTTAGGAAGTAAATTGCAAAGCCAGCCCTTGAACCCAGCTCATCTGAGTCCAAATCTAGCATACTTTCCACTCTGCCATCTTAGGCTTAGCCTGAAATCCAGGAGATTCAATCAAAGAGTGCTGAATTGTAGCAACCAGTGGGACATGGATTTTGTGTCCTATGTTATTATGACCAGCTGTCACTGCTAGAATTGAATGAGATGGCTTGGAAATCCAAATTTAGGTTTGGTACTAGTTTCTAGCCCTTTGTGACCTAGGGACTATGGTCTCCCTAAAAACTTGTTGACAAATGAAAACCTCACTTGCTAAGGTTTGGTCTATCTGCCCCTTGTTCACTCCTCTGACTGACTGATTTTGTGACTAGACTGGTTGCTTTTGTATCAGCTGTAGTAGCCTCAGCAAAATCTTTAATTCAATTCAACAAACATTGATGAAGCACCTACTATGTATATTCAGCTCCTTATATACACCAGCCCTCTTGATTTATGAGAACCACTCATCTGTGGCTTCAAGCAAAAGGAACTTTAGAACCTGTTAAATGCAAATGGAATTTCTTGCCATGCTCCATTTAATTCATTTTTTAAAATATTCAAAAGACCTGGCAAGATCCTTCTAAAGATCTGCTATGTTTAAATAAGATCATGTCAGCATGTTAATATTCTTTAAGCTCCTTTACAGTGAGGACTCTTCCATTTGTGTTTTTTTTTTGGTCCCCTCATCCAGTGCTGACCACACAGTAGGTGCCTATTCTATGCTTGTTGGATTGAATTGAATGTCAAAGAAAAAAATCCAGTGAATCTGTCCATTTGGTTTTTTTCTGATATTTTCTTCCAAACCAATATTTTAAAGAGTGTATGAAAGTAAAATAAAATGAAAACTATCAGGAGCTAATAAAATGAGGAAAGAAAGAAGGAACAGGACAGAAGACTGACCTTGATCTCCGAATACTGGAGAATGTAGGTGGTCTTTTAGCACACTCTCTTCTATGGATTATATTTCTTTCTCTGTAATAAAAACAACTTTTTAAAAAAAGCTCTGCTTATCATTAAATTTTTCAAAGGCCCTTGACCCATAAAACTGAGCTGCTTTAATAGGGAAGCTGTAGAGCTATGCCTGTGGATACAGAAGAGAATGTGTTGAGGTTGGAAATCCATGAGAGTGGCCTTTTATCCACAATTTGATTCAATTCAACAAACATGTATCATATGCTTACCATACCAAATGCTTTGCTAGATCCTAGGGATCAAGGGCCTTGACCTCAAGAGGCTTCCATTCTATTGTAGGGACTTATCATCTTCACAAATAAGCATGCAAAATTCATACAGAAGAAATATATAGTAATAACTGGAAGGAAAAAGTTCAACTACGTGGGTGGTACTGGAGGCCTTTGCCTTTCTAAAAGGCAGAGCTAATACTTTTAAATTGAGATCCTCTACCACTGGTCCATTCATGTACTAAAAGATTAGATCCATTTGGTATAACCAAGCACTGAGAATAAAAATGCAGGTCACTGCGCTGCTCAAGAAACCTCATTATCTACCTAATACCTTCAGTATGAAACAAAACTCTACTCTTTGCTATTTCAAATCCTTTAATATCTGGCTCAGACCTAATTTTCCCGTCTGGTTTCACATCATGCACCCACCTGCACACTTTTATTTAGTAGTCTACTACAATTTTCTCTTAACCTTTTCTTTGGCTTTGCATGACCTCTCTGAATTGCTTTGTATCTTGTTTCAGCCAGGGAAGGTAAACTCCTTTCAGTCTTCAAGTCTTTGTATCTCTGCTTCCCAGCAGTGAAAGCTTGATAAGCGTTTGTTAAATTGAATTAATGCCTAAAGATCATTAGATTACCCAGAGACTTACTTTAATGAAAAATTGTAATCATCGAAGTCAACATTTCTGATAAACTTCTCTGAGAACTCGGAGGCTCCTTACTACCCAGGCCAGAGTTTAGCTTCCATACTGCTATGACCGACAGTAACCCTTTAGGACAACCTAGCTGACATTCCTGTGTTAAGGAAGACATTTTCTGCAATATCACAAATCTGCCAAAAAAAGGAACCTGGGGACCAGAAAGGTAAGTCAGAATGAGAATGAGAATCGGGCTTCCAAGTACCATTTTCGTGAATTTCCAAGAACCTGAGGAAGGGTTGTTTGTCTGTATGGAGAGAGGAAAGACTGCTGAATTAATACTGAGTTCTTTGAATAAAAGAGTGAGGTTCTCCAAAGAGAAAAGGGAAATAAAGTAATGAGTGGGATTGTCACAGATCCTCTCTTTACCCCTAGACAAAGGCAAATAGGCACTTTTTCTTCTTTAGGATGGGGAAGGGTAGGAGAGGAGGAGTCTCCTTGGGTTCCTCTGTATCCTCTCACCTTCCCACTGATGAAGTGGTGATTTGCTTTCATAAACATTGGCAAAGATGAATAAATGAATGAAGATGGATAGAATATCATTCTGGCTCCCATTCCCAAATAAAAACAAATGAGAATATCGGTCAGAGTGCAACTCTGTGAAATTCATCATGGAATCGTGGCTGGAAGACACCTTAGTCCAATGTTTTCATTTTACAAGTGAGGAAACTGAGGCCCAAAGACAGGAAGAGACTTGGTCGAGGTCACAAAGGTAGGAGGAGGCAGAGACAGGATTTGAACCTGGGTTCTCTGATTCCAAATCCAGTGTTCTTTGGACTTTGATCAAGCAGATATCTTTGTCAAAATATATTTGAGGTAAGCCAGAAGCAGTAGCTAAATGGTAATTCAATTCAGCAGGCATAGAATGTGTGTCTGTTGTGTCCCTGCTTTGCCTGGGGATACAAGGACAAACACAAAGCAGTCCCAGTCCTCAAGAAGTTTACCTTCTACTGGGTCTAGTCGATTTACATTTGGGCTGATTTAGTCATCTCAGGGCAGACCTAATTAATAGTCTATCCTCTCCACAATCTTTATGAGCTGATTCTCAAAAATAAGACATTTAAAGCACAGTTACACAGCTTTTTAAAAGATTTCCCTCTAAGAAAGCACACCTTTGTATATCATTTTCTTTCCCTTATTATTCACGTTAGAGTAGGAAAGTGTATTGTTCCTCATAGCGCATTTGAGTGATTGAAGGCATGTGTGCGCACGCGCGCATATGTGCTTGTGGGTGCATGTGTGCACAGTCATAAAGCCCCTGCCCCAGCAGAAATGCTTAAACACATGTATGTTGTAGATATGTGGCCATAGTATTGTCCGGTGACAGGCGCTTGAAGTGGGCTAGTGAAGCTAGCATTTTTCTCTTCTTGCTTTGATGATATTTTTATACAATTTTATATGCTGTACAATTGAAAAATATTTGCTATTGTCATTTGTAGAATTCTGCTTAGGCTTTTTATCAGATTTGGGGATAGTTACTCAGCCAAGTCTCCCATTGTCTCTTTTCCTCCCTCCCTGCTTTCTCTCTGCCTTTCCTATCTTTTTTCTCCCTCAGCTTCTTCTCCCTCCCTCCCTCCTTCCTTCCTTTCTTCCTTTTCCTTGTTCTCCTCTTTTCTTCTTCTCTTCCTCCTCCTCCTTTTCTTTCCTCTTCCCTTTCTCCTCCCATCCCCTCCTTCTTCTTCCTTCTCTTCTTCCTCCTCCTTCCCCTGATGGAAGCCAGTTTACTGGCTTCCTTTCCTCTGATATTGCAGCCCCTCCCCCAGGTGACAGAAAACAGAGGCCCGACCGGAAGCTAGGGAAGCTCAGGTGACCAAGAAGGTCAGCTGACTTTGTGGGATGAGCGTCAGGGGTGGCTGGCCATGCTAATGTGGCCTTCCTTTAGTCAGTCAGCTTTCTTGTCCATCCTAATGTTTATTTTGGCTTTGAGGATGTTACTTGCCCATCCCTGCTGGGGTTTAGGAATGTTCAGTATGGGATGTTAAGCCATATGCTGAAGGCAGCAGTTGGCCCAGTTTTAGTCACAGATTACACTCCTGTCCAAATGAACCCGTGGGAAATGCTTGGCCCAATGTTTAAGGAGGCTCAAGAGAGAAGGGGAAAGTAATAGCCAAACTTGAAACCCAAATCTTGCCCTTTCAGTGTCTCCTTGAAGGGATTCAATGGGGATTTCTCTTTGTATTCTTAAGAGTTTCTTGAAAGTGGGTGGGTGACATTAAAAATCAATTTCTCTTTAATTGAAGTCGTAGAGATGAATGTCTGCATTTGGGAGAGAAGATGCACATTGTGATGGGCATCACGAGGCAAGAAAACAATA